CCCTACACTTCAGCACAGGAATGCTGTCTATAGCAAGAACAAGGGGATGTTCTTAACCCCATCTTCTCCAAGCTACTGGGAAAAACAAGCCTGGAGAGGCAGCTCTTCTGTACCAGCTCTTGCTCCACACAGCCTAGTCGTGGCTCAGCCTGCCCCAAAAGAACAGCCGAGCTACTTCACCTGGGTCAGATCCTGGAAGTCAAAACTCTACCACGGAGCCAGAGCACTTTCATCCCAGCCTGTCTCATGCCCTGCCCTGCGCAAACCTGCAAACACACTCAGTGGGTGTCATCCACATGGGCCAGACAGGTGAGCTGTTGCTTCGGCCAACCCTCCAGCAGCAGACAGCCTCGGCCATTCCGAGCACCATCCATGCGTGTCAGAGTCAGAAGACTTTGGGCTTGGGGAATGAAGTGTCATTTGCTCTCACAGCTGCTCCCCGCAGCCTGGAGCACAGCTACTCTCTCGGGCAGAGGTGGGAGAAGCTCGTTCAGGAGCTGGCAAGGCAAACACTGCCAGCAGAATCCATTTACCCCTCATATGCAGAGAGTCTCCAAATCAAGGGCCTCTGGAAGATCACTGAATGTTTTGAGGTGGAAGCGACCTTAAAGATCACCTAGATCCAACCCACCTGTCATAGGCAGGGACACTTCCCACCAGATCTGGCTGTTCAAAGCCCCACCCAACCTGGCCTCTAACACTTCCAAGGTTGAGGTATCCACAGCTTCCCTGGGCAACATGAGTCTCACCACACTCACAGAAAAGAGTTCCTTCCTAGTAGCTAATCCACATGTATCTTCTTTTACTTTGAAACTGTTAGCTCTCGTTCTATTATTACTCTCCCTGGTAAAGAGTCTGATCTCCTATAGGAGAGAACTCTCTCTCAGGGAGCAGGCCATACATCGTATATGCAACACTTGAAGACACTAAGACCTTCATCCTCCTAAGATTTAAGTCTTCCTTATGAAGGAGGTGGTCTGCCTTAACCTCATCTCATCCTGGAAACCAAGCAACCCTGGCCCTGTCTGGGACTTGGGCAGAGACCACCTGGGACCCCGGACAAACTCAACAGACTGACAACCAGTAGACTACAGAAATCAAATTAATTTTAAAAAGGCAGGGGGTGTCAGGCCTCAGAACTACAGGTAAGTAAACAGCAAAACTACTAAGTGAAACAAGAAGCTGCATCTGGCTAGCAAACCACAGCAACATCAGGTGTTAAAGGGACTACATCTGGCTAAGAAGTCCCAGAACCTGTGACTGAATGATTATCACCTAACCCACCCCTTCAGTGGCATCAGGGTGAAGTCCGACTTTGTCCACAAGACTGGTAAAAACATGCTGGAGTTCAGAGGGAGCACACCACGCTTAGCATTAGTGCTCACATTTTGGTTGAGCTTAACTTCAGAGGGAAGGGCAGTCTAGGACGCAGAATTGTACAAGTCCTGTTAACAAAGTCACAGCTCTGGCTGGTTAATTCAGCAAGATTCCCGACTACCTCTGGATCAGCAAGGACCAGGACTGCCAAATTTAGGTGCATTTCTGTAGCAAAGGAAGCAATTCTTAAACATTTGTTGTATAACCCTTTTGACAGACTTAAGCTCTTTGGGATCCTTCAGAATGAAAGGCTATTTTTACAAAACTACCGCAGCAAATACAGATGATGCAAATATGAACGTTTTAGATAACTACCAATAAAAATCCCAAGGTGACTCCTGTAACAGCCGTCTCTTTGCTAATTGCTCATTAGCATCGTTCATTGTGCATCGCTCGGTAGCACGGCTCTCGTCTCTCACATGGATTTTTACAAGCTGCTTGGGCCTACCTGCCCACACAGAGTCAGAATAATTCCATGAAGGATCGGGTCCACCGTGATTTTTAAGTAAGTTTTGAGTGAGATTCAGGGAAGATCAAATATAAACATTTCCTACTTCAAAAAACCTTCTTGATGTTTGTGCAATACGCATGGATCTCAACCAAACCACTCCTGCAAGATTAGAAATCCAATGCTCAATATAACGGTGGAGCAACATTTATTTTCTTCAAATGAGTTACTGACTGTAGGATGCAAACTTTTAAAACAAATGAAATCAATGAAGTCGTTAAAGAAACTCACCATAGTGATTGGTCCTATTGCCTGGGTCATGTTTTGGGCAGAACACTCTAAAATTTAAGTTCGATTTTAAGAAAAAGAGAAAAAGTATTAATAAGTATGTAAACAGAGTTATGCTGACTGATTTTAACAGATATTTTCCCCTCTTTTCCTTTAATTTAAACGCTTAAAAAAAAAAAATCAGGATCTTTGTCAGCATTACCCACCTAAAAAAGCACCTGCTGTAAAGTCACATGCACGCATGAGCTTGTATTCGTATTTTTAGAGCCTCAGTGGCCTCTGAACACTAAAGCTCTGAATCATTCAGTTCCATCACCCCACTCTGAACTCGTTCACCTCCTCAGTGATCTCTGTGACCCTCCCTGGCCGCTGCCCAGTGCTGGTGAGGGGGTCCCCAAATCCTGAGGAAGTCGGGCACACCCCGTCCGAGATCCAGTGGTTTAAAAGCTGCTCAATCCATTTGTTCCTTTAAAGACTTTAGTAATAACCGAGATGGGAATATTTCCTCTGGTTCTAGGAAAGCAGTACGAATTCCTTGGAAAATCCAAAAATGTGAGAAATACAGCTGGAAATATTCCTTATCTCCTGGATACGATAACGTATAGAGAAAGTGAACTGGTGTCTATAATATGCCTTTCTTACAGAAGGATCCCAAATCACCTTTTAAGGAAAACTGCCTTGTCAAGAGTGTGGTTTAGCTGATCTCTTCATTACAAATCTATTTGTCAACACTAATGCCCAAGTGTTTAGAAGAAATATTTAAAGAGAATTACATTTACCAGGACGTTTTCTAATTATTGGCATTCTTTAACAAAACAGAAGCACTGACCTTAGAAATGCAGTCTGTTTCCTTGATGACTCAGGGTTTTTTTGCATGAAATTCATTTTGATGCACAAAAAAATAATGGATTTATGTGTGCCTAACAATTCAATCAGAAAGCTAAGTAGTAGAGGCACCTCATTTATATTCCTGAACTTTTAATAGTGCCCTCTGAAGGTTGTTCGTAACCAGGAAAAAACATGATTAAAGGCAGAGGAAGACAAAAAACCCCAGCCTCCCTAACCACAAGAACATCTTACAGAGGACAATACCTTTTACTGCTCAGGCCACTTTACTTGGAAGCACTTCCCTACTACAAATTTTTTTCAAGTACAAATTACACCTACTTCCCCACCTCAACTCTTACTAGCCACTTCCATAGCATTGTACCCCTTCTCCTTGTTCTGCTCCTTTGCATGGATAATCGCTGATGATGATGGCAATTCAAGAGTTTAAAAACACCAGCTCTCACAAGAATCCTCTTTTCATACTATTTCTAGCATACTTCACTATGAAGAAGTGCAGGGGGCTGTCAATCCATGTCCACTGTTTTTTCAAGTCATGTTTGTCTTCTCTCCAATCACTTCGGGCTAGCTACAAATTTCATGCTTTATTTACGCCACCGATACTGTGCAAGTCTTTGGGTTCAAATCCCTGAAACCTGGCTCATCTTCCTCCAATCCAGTTCTTTTTCATCTCTTCCATACAGGTGGCTATAGCCTAGTTTCTTATATTTCTATGTAGGACAAGCAACTACTCTCACATAGTGACTTTGCACAAGGCATTTTTAAGGGACCCTCTTCAAAACCTCGAAGGTCACCAGCTCAGAAAAACAACAAATCAAACTACATATTCAACCACTTCTTTACCATGTTGTATCTAGACTGTTACTAGTCCTTGTCATTTCTCAACATCTGGAGAAGTTCAGTCTTAGCTGGTCCAGAGGTATCCTTTCTAAAGCTATCTGACAAGAGTCATTTATTCTGTGATCATGGAAAGTTTCCAGTCATCCTCTCTCACAAGCTTTGCAGACTTCCAAAGACTCCGTAAGCATCAACTAAACGTATTGTCTTCACTATTGTAGAGGTTGGTGCTGGTCTCTTCTCACAGGTGATGAGCGATAGAACAAGAGGGAACAGCTTCAAACTGCAACAGGGGAGGTTTAGACTGGACATTAGGAAAAAATTTTTCACAGAAAGTGGAGTCAGACATTGGAACAGGCTGCCCAGGGAGGTGTTTGAGTCACCATCCCTGGAGGTGGTTTAAAGATCATTTAGATGTGGTGTTGGGGGATGTGGTTTAGGGGTGAGCTTTGTAGAGTAGGGTTAGTGGTTGGACTCGATGATCCCAGGGGTCTCTTCTGAATGATTCTGTGATACAGCTGGGCTTATGGCTGCGCCAAAAGATGCATTTACTTTGGATGGAGAGCCCCAGGGAAGCAGCAAAGAGCGCAAGTGTTCTGACACAAAGGGTCCCATCTTTTACTACCACCAACGACTGCGCTAGACTACGTTTTCCCAAAACAAGTGACAATTAGATGGTCTACCAGATTAACTGAAGACTAACATGGCTTGTGATCTCTCCAGACTTACAGAGGTATGGATGTCAGGGGTTTTATGCACCTTGGACTTTACTATAACTTCAGCACTCCAAAAGGTCCCTGAAGTCTCAATTTCTCAACCCCTTCACCTTCACCGTTCAAACAACTCATTTCATCTACTAAGAGCAACACAGGCAGCCTGAGGGCAGCAGACACCAGGACCAGCATGATGAGGACAGAAAAACTTAACCACAGAATCACTAAAGTTGGAAAAGATCTCTAAGATCACCAAGTCCAACTGCCAACCCAACACTACCGTGACCACTAAGCCATGTCCTGAAGTATCACACCTACACATTGTTTGGACACCTCCAGGGATGGTGACTCCACCACTTCTCTGGGCAGCCTGTTCCAATGCTTCCCCAGATTTATTTAAAATCTGTTTGACTGTCTTAAAGCTAGTAAGGTACTTGAAATATAAGAGGGTCTCTGTGGTGGGAATACAAAGTTCTATGGAGCATATGGAGGGAAAATCATCAGAATTTGACCAAGAAGTGCTATAGTCTGCTCCGTGTTCAGGCTACTATTACTGAAGCTTATGAACCAAGAGCAATTGGGGAATTTGAGCAACATTAATAAAAATCCTGGTCCTTGAACACTAGCTAGATAGCCAGTAAGGACTGACTACCTCAGTTTTGGTCAGGGCCGACTTCCCCATTTTTATCTAGTGATCTTTGCAGTGTGCTGCAGGCTCAAACACCAAACAGATTCATTTCCACTGCTACAATGTTTTCCTGTGAAAGGAAACCATTTCCCCTATTGCTTGTGAACACAGGATCAAGCACCACCTCAAGAGAGGAGAACACATTTCCTTTTTAAAAAAAACTTCTAAAAAAAAAAAAAATCACACAACTTCTAAGTCTTTCTTCCTGACACCACCACCAAAACCTTGACAATAATTAGTTGGAAAATACTTGGTTAAATACCGGTAGATTCCTTTTACTTCATCTGTTTCTATCGCCGCATCATCGCAGAGCGCGCAGAAGTAATGATAACTCCGGCGACAGGCTCTCTCCTCGCATCCCACAGTGGCCCCTTTCTTGCGGCAGAAGTTGCACATCTAGAACAGCACGAGGTTTAGCACGTTAAGTGTCACAGACGGCTACTGAAAATCTTGCCATACACAAGGCAAATACCACCCTCTGTAGGAAAATCAAATCGTGCAAGTCACCTCTATAGAACTCATCAGGCAAGTTCGCTCCCATGAACTCCTACCCCTGGCATTATTTCAGCCACCTTTCTGTTCTCTTACCTCTATTTCATGTTGATGGATTTGTAAAATGAGGCAAAGAGCGAGGGCACTGGCCAGTTCCTTCCTCTTCCCTAAATCTTGCCCAAGTTGTTTCAATACCTATTGGTGTTAGTGCTTGTATTTTTGATTTCTAGGGTAATTTTGTAATGAAAAGAATTCCACCCATGATGTAAGGGAGGAGAGCAGCTGAGAGCAAAGCCAATAAGAAACCCCGCTATCAATAACTTTCCTCCCGCTAAAACCAGAAGGTGTTTCCCTTTACACTTTCGGATTGTCTAATTTTGTTTCAGCCACTGGTTTAGTCCTTTACCAAAGTCTCTTGGGAAACTTAGCCTAAGGACTTTAAACGTGTTGGGCTTTCTGGCCTTGAACACAAAATGAACTAAATTTCACCAAATACAATGTAAAATCAATGTATCTAAATCTGTAATTTCCCTAATTTTAGTAGATCAGAAGGACCAAGACCTTTTCTGCATTCTTTTTTTCAAGAATAAAACAGGCCAGACAACCTTCAGTACTATGAGATAGGACTAAGTGCAGATTCAGAAAGAAAGTCCTTACCAGTCGCTTTCCTCTCTTGAGTTCTTTCAACACTGATGCCACATCAAACCTTATATCCAGATTATCTGGATTATACTCTTCAGATTCCACAAATCCTGAGGAAAATAACTGAAGACAAAAGAGATTATATTAATAATAATAGAGGGACTCAGCCACCAATGCATTCCAGAGAAAGGAGAGGAAGAGTATGTGTTTTCTTGCTCCTGCCCTACCTAAGAAGGTTGATTTTTCTCTATGTTTTTAAGAGGTTTCACCTGCATTGAATAAGGAGCTGTGCTTAAACCTTTTCCCAGTCAAAAGGAGTTCCTCTCTCTACAAAGATCTCATATGACCTGAAGGCAAACTAAGAGAATATAACAAGGCGAGAACTTAAGAAGTGGGAATGAAGAAAGTTTGGCAATCCAAGCTGCTCAGAGCAAGGAGGAAAAAGCTCTTGGTCTGACAGACCTCCACACCTTGAACATATTGTTATCTGCCCAGCTGCTTGGCTCTACAGCCAGATGCAAAATTTGTCTGTAACAGTGTCCTTACAGTCCAACGCTGACAACACAGCTGACTACATGAAAAACACAGGAATATTGTACAATGCCTGGGAAACCCACAAAACACATACAGATGCACCTTCGGGCCACTGTAATTCCCATAGAAGTGCTGAGCCATGACAATAAGTGAGGAAATAGAATTTTTTAGCAGCTTCTCTCTAACCACTATATATAGCTAATTCTGAACAAAAGTGAGCTACCCTTACATCAACGGGCAGACAGAGTTTAGGTGACAGTTAACTGCAAAAAAGTCAAACAGCACTACTGGGGGAAGAGAAACAAAGTTTAAACATGGATGTTCCCTGCAATGTTGCTTCTAAGTAAAACTTAAAAAAAAAAAAGGTAGAAAAATAAAGATGTAAACATAAAACCTGTGAGAATAAGGCAGGAACCAGTCTTCTTACAAGAAAGTTAGAAAGCTGTTCCAGCAGCAGACGCATCTCCTGCACTAAGTGACCCTTGCTGAGAGGAGAAGAACATGGCGTCTGCAATCGATTCTGTACACCAAGAACCAGCTCCACTAAGACCCCAGAATAAAGGGGAGGCATTCTGACAGCAAGAAGAGTAAATACCTTCTAGGAAAACAGCATGCCTAGAGCTTCACAGACATTTTTATATATTCCGCATGTGCCAGTATAGGTTGGGGACTGAC